TCAATAGATTCGTGCACTTGCGGGTATTTTTAATTGGTTGTTTGCACATTAATTTGTGTCCTCTTAGGAATGCAACAGTGCTTAGGATAATCTGGATAATACTAACAGGGAGACAATCTCTCAGGCAGTTTAGCTCCCAGGTTCCATTATCTAGAAAATCACTTACATTCAACTGGAGCATATCTTCAGTCAGATCAAAGAGAGCATGTTGTTGGAGGGGGCCACAGCTAAGCCAGTTGTCTGTCCAAAATCTCACATTATCCCCAGAACCCACTCTCCACTTGAGGCCTTTAGAAAGAGGAGCAATACCATATAAGACTCCCCTCCAAGCACTTGAACAACAATGGGAATTAGATGCCTTAGCAGTTAAGATGTCACTCTGCTTTAAATATTTAGCTTTAAAAACCTCAGCCCATAGCCCTTGCTCTTGTTGAAGGAGTCTCCAACCGGATTTTGCCAAGAGAGCTTGGTTCATCCAAGCCATATTCTTAATGCCCAATCCACCAGCTGCCTTGGGTTTGCAGGAAGTTTCCCAATTCACTAAATGAGTTGTGGCTTTGTCCGCAGTGTGCCCCCAAAGAAAGTTTCTGTTCAACTGATCAAGCCTATCACAGACAGAAATAGGCAGTTTGACAGTTTGCATGGTATACAGAGGGATAGCAGCAGTCACAGATTGAAGAAGAGTGATTCTACCAGCCATAGAGAGGGTGTGATGTTTCCACGAAGCTAACCTTTTTTGCACTTTAGCAATGACCTCTTGATAAGTTGTTTTGTCCACCCTAGTGTGAATAAGAGGGACACCAAGGTACTTTCCAAGGTTAGAGCTGTAGGGGGAGCCACTTATGGTAGCAATAGAGTTGGCCAAGTCAGAGCAGATGTTTGGGGAGACACATATCCTAGATTTATCGAAGCTAACTTTTTGGCCAGAAAGTTGACAGAAATCATCCAGACAACGTTTCATCAAGTGAGCTTGATGGATGGACGCTTCCCCAAAAAGGATAAGGTCATCCGCAAAAAAGAGGTGGGAAATCTTTGGTCCTCCTTGGCAGATTTGGACCGGTTTCCAGGACCTATCATGAGTTTTTTGCTGAATGAGCCATAACTGTTTTAATAAGCGAGAATCAAATAATAGCGCTCATAATTATAATTTGAATAAATTATTTTTAAAATTATATGAAATAGCTCTTTTGAAAGGATACGAAACTAGTAATCAGGGCACACATAATAGAATCTTAAGATATTAATTCCCACCTCCCACAACACCTCCCGAATAAAGTGCCAATGCAACCTATCATAAGCTTTAGATAGATCAATTTTCCAAGCAATAAACCCTTTTTTTCCTTTAGCCATTTTGAATTTATGCAGCACCTCTTGAGCAATAACAATGTTATCTGTAATCTGTCTTCCTGGGACGAAGCTAACTTGATTTGGACTAACAAGCTTAGTCATACAAGGGCGAAGCCTAGCCACAAGGATTTTAGAGACCACTTTATAGAGTGTGTTGCAGAGACTGATAGGCCTAAGTTGTGTCATGGAGACAGGTCTCTCCACTTTAGGGACCAAGGCAATAAGAGTTTCATTTATGTGCTCAGGAAGGGTGGCAGTTTGGAAGCACTCATTGGTAAACGAGATGATATCATTAGAGCAAACCTCCCAAAATTTCTGATAAAAAATAGCAGGGAAACCATCTGGACCAGGGGTCTTTAATCCACCAATGTTGAAAAGGCTTTCTTTAATCTCTTCAGTAGACACAACACAATTCAACCCTGCAAGGTCAGCCTCCTCAAGTTGAGGAAATAATTGAGGGAGTAAGGAATAATCACCAGCTGGATCAGAAGTGCAAAAAATACCTTGAAAGTAATCGACAATAATTTGCTTCAAGCCAGTTTTGTCAGAAATCCAAACCCCAGCATCATTGTTAAGGCCTTCCAATTTATTTCTCCTCCTCCTGATAATTGTGGACAGATGAAAGAACCGAGAATTCTTATCACCTTCTTTAAGCCAAGTATTTCTTGATTTCTGAAGCCAGAAGAGCTCTTCTTGTTCAAGAATCAGGTTATAGTTGTTGGTTAGCTCAGCTTCAAGGTCACAAAGATAGGGGTTATGCCTCAAGCACAGCTTCCTTTGGATACCAGCAAGCCGAGCCAGGAGCCGTCTTTTATTTTGGAAAAGACAACCAAAAACTTGGCGGTTCCAGGAAATAAGAGAGGATTTAAGGCGAGCAGACTTTTGACTGGCATGGCCATCTCCAGTATTCCAATTAGCATGAATGAAGTCAGGGAAGTCAGGGTGAGACATCCACATTGCTTGAAATCTGAAAGGGGTACAATTTCTCTCAGGAAAGTGGTTGGAATCTAAGGAGACCAGAATAGGACAGTGGTCAGAGTTCACTCTAGGCAGGTGAGATAGATGAGCCTCTGGGAATAAAAGCCGCCATTTAATGTTGCACAGACCTCTATCAAGCCTTTTCCAGATGATACCCTCAGCATTCCTCTTGTTGCACCATGTAAATTTAGCACCAGAGAAACCCAAATCCACAAGTTGATTACGATCAATCCAATCAATAAAGCTTCTATCACCCTGGTCCAGGTTGCCTCCACATTTTTCAACCGCACTTACAATATCGTTAAAGTCACCTAGGACCAGCCATGGCAGGTGAGAGGCACGGGCAAGGCCATCAAAATATTTCCACAAGGACTCACGAATTCCCTGGCAGGGGTTAGCATACACCACAGATAGGAGCCACCACTGATTCCCCAAAGTCACTAAAGCAGTAATAGATTGGCTGGAGTGGGCAACAACTTGGAGCGACACAGAGTTCCCATTCCACAGTAACCAAACACCTCCTGAGAAGCCAATAGCATCAACAATGTGATAGTGAGAGAAACCCAAATTTTGAGCAACAGTTAGGGCCCTAGACCCACTTATTCTAGGTTCCAAAACAGCAAGGATGTCAATGTCAAAGGCTTTTTTTAAATCCTTAATAGTGCGAGCACAACTAATTTTACCAGCACCTCGTACATTCCAAGCAGCAATATTCATTAAAAAAGGATATTTAGGGAAGGTGACCTTAGGAAGACCCTAATTCTGAGCTTGCCCAGTCACGAAGACTGCAGGGGCATCATGATAAGGAAGCATATCAACTTCAAGTCCAATGACCGGCTTACCTTGGTCCAGGCATTCACTTTGTTGTTCCATGTCATCAGACATATCTCTCATCTCTGCAGTCTCCCCTACAACAGGCTCAATGTTGTAATCATCAGGGGGTTCAGGTCCAAGCAGAGTGCCACCCTTAGCCAAGGAAGGATCACAGGTGAGGGGCCCATTAACATTGAAGGAGAAGGATCCACGAACATCATCCTGCAAATCAGCTCCATTTACTTGCATGCCAAAAGTTTCCACAACTGGGAAATTCAGCGGTTTAGTACCACCTCTATTTTTCCAAAGTTTCTTCGAACCAGTACCAAGCCTATTAATATCCCTTCCCCCAAGCGTTCCAGTCGAGTTTGTAATATCCTTGAGAGGCTTTTTAAAAACCCAGGGAGAGGAGCCATAGGAGGTTGGGCTTTTGTTCCCAGGGGGTGTAGCTTTGCCAGCAGGGATCACTGCAGGCTTAGCCACAGATTTGTTAGCCCTGTTTGAGCTAGAAGCAGTTGCTTTGTCAGGGGGGAACTCTTCCATAACTGTTCCATTATCAATTTTCCCTTCCTCATTCAGGACATTAAACCGAGAGCCATTGTTATCATTAGAAATCTTTGGGTTCCTCTTGCTAATTTCAGCGCCCTTTCCTGAGTCGTTCAGGATCTTCTTCTTAAAATTCCTTGTCTTCATCAGCATCCATTCTCCATGTATCTTAGCTGGATTTTCAGCGGCCAGAGTAGCAGGGCTATCAACTTGTAGCTCATCATTTTTATTCGTAATACTCACTTCCATACCTTCAACAGAGTCAGCTATCTTCTGTTTAGCTTGCACAATAATAGGACAGGTATCCCTTCCATGGCCATAACATCCACATTCAAAGCAGACCAGGTTAATGCCTTCATAAACAACTCCAAATGTACGGCCTTCAATCTCAATAAAGGGGGTGAGGGGTTTACTTAAGTCAAGTTCAATGCAAATTCTGGCAAACTTACCTCGGGCTTGGCTCATCGTGTTGGCATCCACCTTGATTGTATTCCCTATCAGATTCCCAATTTTCTCCAACACATCATAGCGGAAGTATTCAACATTTAAGCCATTGATACGCACCCAAGCCGTCATATGAGAGATTTTTTCCTCCTGGGCATTAAATCCAGGTTTCCATTTTTGGGTCACCACGTATTGACCAGCTATTTGCCAGGGACCGCTGGTGAGGACATATCTCATATCTTCTTCATACACAAATTTAACAATGAAATAGTTGTTATCTAAATCAATAAGGCTCATCGGGCCCTTGAGCGCCCACTTCTGGAGAAGACGAGCTCTCAGGAAAGTGTAGGCTAAGGGGCGACCCATGAGCTTGATGATCACTGCCGTACGCCAGGGCCGATACAAAGCATTCTTGATTTTCTCAGAGAATTGGATTGAGGGAATCGTTCCTGATTTGATAATAATATCATCATCGCCAATATCCATCTGTTCTTCAGCCATCCCAAAGTCTCCAGCCACTTTATCTTTAAAGCTCATAGGAATTGGGGGCAGTGGGGGAGGAGGCAATTCAGAGTCCAGTTCATCG